GTACTTTTTTGTACCATAATAAGGGGATACTCTATCTATGATTTATCAGGTTCATAAAGATACAAAAAAACACTGCTTCCTATTTGTGCATTATTTTAACATCTTTATTGATTGATAGTGGACAGTGTTACTTTAGAGTTGATTTTATTCTTTCATAGTTCATTATTAATTTCTTTTTTTTTAAATGTAACAAACATTTAATGATTCCAGGTTCTCCAAGGTGGTCTAGCTTCAATTGACTCATGATTTCGACCTGTGAAATTTCCTAAAATCTCCACAAAACTCATTCTGATAATAACGCATTTATTGTCCAAAATAAGTTTGAATAGATATGATGTTCATTATTTGATGACCTCAGTACTATCTATTATATAAATTCAATAATAGTGATATTAACGTGAATTAAATTTTATTTTCGATCATTCAGTATTCTTTTTTAGAGTAAACAGTCATTAATTAATTATAACTAGTGACAAAATATACTGTTAGTAGTATCTTAACTAATATTTATACAAACTGATGACCAGTTTTATGAACATAGTTTACTTCAAATAATATGTACTTACAGTTCAGTGTACACGTAATTATGTACTAAATAGTGTATTTGAGGAAATTTTTTCATAAGTTCGTTATCCTCACTATGTTTTAGTATACAGTATTGTACAATGTGGTTCTAAAATATGAGTCAAAATTTGTTTCATTATTTAATAGAATATCAATTTCTACATTCATTAAATCATTATTCTTATGCTCACAAAGTCATTTATTCCAAAAATCTGTTCCATAGATTTTAAAAGGGATCATAAATACATATAAATAGAGTTATCCGATAATCAGTTCATTTTCGGTAAATTTAAATGTAGCCGAAAAGCATCCAATGTCATTTAATTTCCACCGTTTATATAAACTAACGTATTGACCTCCATTTATGAGACTAGAATTTATATTTCAAGTGTCTATTAATGAGGTGAAATAGTTTAAACATATGACATTGACATTTGGAATAGGTTGAAAAGCGACCGAACCATATAATATTCTGAAACTGTTCTAAAGCTATATTAAGAAAGGATAGATACCAAATTACAGCAACGATGAAAAATCCCTTATTTGTTTTCTCATAGGATTAGCACTAGAATAGTAGTACTTTGATGTTTTTATTAACATCAAACATAATTATATGTATGCGCACACTGAAAATAGGTGAAAATGGTAGTTAAGTCCAAGTAATAGAAAGATAACAACAACAAAGATATTGAAATTAACTTACGAATTTGTTAGATTCTTTTGTTGTTCGAACTACTTAAATTATTGTGATTTTGATTTTTGACTGATTTATAGCCGCCTAGTTAATTAAAAACGGCGTAGAACCTGGTAAAATCTTTCACCAATCCATGTTGCAATAACAGATCAACATAAGAAGCTAAAATTAAAAATGTTCATAGGAAAGATGTAAAAATAATGTTTTTTATGATAGTGAGGAATACTTAATCATTCACCTGAGCTACAAATCTTCTCCACCATCTCAAGATTTTAGTTTACAAGGAAAATGAATTTACGAACTAGAATGTTTGAAGCAATGTAAACGCTTTTGAAACGAATAGTACACTAACCGACTTTATAGTTTTCAAATACAGTGAAAATACAAAATTCAACTCTGAATAATTCCTTATATACGGTGGTTATAGAATTGTGCATGTAATAATTCAATAACATTTGAATTATGACTTTGAAAGTGTAATATTTACACTAGAGATATAATCCTCCACAAATTGACTTTTCGTCGGGCGTTATATTTAGTTTAAATTCAACATCCTCTTTTATTCAATATGTATTTTATTTGAAATGGATAACGTAGCTATTTAAAACAAAAGCTTCTAAGCGAATTAACATTCATTAATACATAACTAACAATAAAATTGCATCACTATAATAGTCAAATGTAAAATTAGTCAACAATAAGAACTGGTGAAGATCACCCATGAATTATATCATTTATTTTAGTAACATGTTAAATTTATGATATAATTTTCATTAATGCTTTACATACTACTGTAAATGGTCAGGAGAGAATGCTCTTAAAAATGTATGTAGAACTACACTCGGTATTCTAGAAATAATGTTTTGTTGGCAAACTAAAGTACAGTCTTGTTTAAACTGTTACCATGTTATTACTAGATTACTGTATCAACAGTTGACAAGCAACATTTACAATTGAATTATTATTTAGAAATTACTAAGACACGGTTCCAAAAATTTGGAGTCCCATTTATGGTAATTTTTGTTTTCTCATAAACAGTTCAGTATGATACTTTTTTTCTTAGTAAGAAATTTTGACAGATTGAGACAATTTTTTTATTAGGAACTTTGAAAATAAAACGTTAGTGACACTGATTATCATCCGGTGAATGAAAAAAATAAAATGAAATATATATTAGTAGTAAAGTTTGCTTAGGCGGTGATTTGTCATATAACTTTGTGTCACAGACACCGAAGTAAATTCATTTCTACTAGTAAACAATTGTCAGACGCTGACATTACTCATAGATTCTCAGTAGTATCCGTCAGTTTCACTTCAGTTAGATAGAACTGCTGATTATCAGGTGAGGTTATTATTATTATTATTACTATTGTTATTATTATCGCCATTATGACAGTAACGAACATTGATGAGCCTTATAACAGTAATCCTAATTAGCATTTCTTACGTTTAAAATCTTTTTTGGCCTTACATCTAATTTCAGTTAGATCGTATACTTATTGTTACTGAAACATGCATCCTGCCAACCTTCGTATATTTTTATCGACTTAATTCAAGTTAAAGAATATCAGAATAAAATAAGCTAAATAAGAGAATAAGTTAAATAAATACGTATATTTCGCACACCCATCGTTCCAAACAGACAATCGCAGAAACGAGGCAAAGGAAGCAAAATCAAACGGAGTGACGTTTAGAGGAGATATCGGATGAGCCACCTCAGTCGTAGTTAGGATTAATAAGCGAATAAGTGATAAGGTCAAAACGTGGCTTGAAAATAATAATGAAATTGGTCTGTCCAGAATCTAGAATAGCCTATATAAGCTTAACATAGTGCCAGCCACTAAAGATCACGATGAAACTAACTGTCCAGTCTTACGACTTCGTTCTGATTTACATAAATATTATTCTATCGACGTATTTCGTAAACTTCCCTCAACCATAAATAAAATGATCGCATATATCGTTTTTGTCAAATACTAGTATAAGATTTTGCCACTCACGTCCCACAGTTGAGATTCAGTCAATTGCTTCATAAAATATAAGATGGTATTTAAAGCATCTATATCACAACAAGACGCATTTTAATAAGCTAACATGATATTGTTTGATACTATGTTGAAATTTAAATTAGACTATAATTTATTAATGCAAACATCGTGATAATTTGAAAGTCCTCATTGAATTTTTATTTATAATGTGACTAATGGTTATTAGAAATACCTAAATGACCGTTATTTAGTGAACAATAGGATGAATTGATCAAATTGGTCAATCACACAACAGCATTCTGATGGATACATTTTTGAAAAAAAAATTACTAAACAGCTGACTAACGGATGCTAATTAGACATACAATTCAAAGTATTGATATCAGTTACTTATTAATCGTAAACAATTCGACTACCAAAGATTACAGAGGAACATGAGATTCAGGAAACGTCTTGTGATGGTAAACATTTTCATCCTTGTTCAAAGGTGTATATTATTGAAGTTGATAGGATGAAAATATTTTTGTTTGGATCAATTAATGAAATATGTTATATACCACTATATGATAAAATCATATTATTTTGAGTTCCATGAAGTAGTTCTCATTTTTGAGAGAGTAATGCAACGATATAGTAAATTATACTCGTCTTTTTTTCATTGTTCTCATTGGACAGCAGATAGATTGTAGACGTGTATAGTATTCAGTGTTTTAATTGTTGAAAAAACATATTTTGCCCAACAAAGTCAAACACAGAAGAACGACCTCGGTAAATTCCTGAAATATTTATTTTACACCAACAATTAAAAAGAATATCCACTATATACAGAGGAAAATAAAATAATTTTATCCGTGTTTTGATTTCGTTATCCTGCCAATAATAATATAAATGAATTTAAATGAACTTATATAATGATTGACATTTGCCTGTATTATTGAACTAGAGTTTATTTTCATTTGGATACCTAACGATATTCAGTGCAGAATCAGTTATGGTTATGGAAGTATGGAAAAAGTGTGGCGAATTCATCTAGTAGCCAGTATTTAACTCTTACATTAAAAGTACTTTTGAATAGTGACGAAATATTTCTTTTCTTGTTTTCTGTGATGAACGAATCGTATCAACCAGATTGCAGAGTTTCTTCTAGTTTGAGTGACACAACATCGCGTTCGATGTGCTTCGATGACAGGTGGTCGGAAGTAGTCTGCAGGAAATCTATTTTTTCACGATGAAAATTTGAGTTAAGTGCTGAAACAGCTAAACACAGATAGACTTAATTTTTTGTGTCGATTAATTCAGCGTCATTCATCGTCAAATAAACCGTTAGATTCCATAAAAAAAATTTTTTAACTTGATTTATAGTTGTATTTTTGGAAGTTAAAAAACTCTGAATAACAGAATTGTACTAACGAAATCAGTGAAGTAACCAGTTAGCGAGTTGGATGTATTCTATTTGTAAAAAAAACGTAGTTTTGCGAATAAAAACCGTAATGCTAAAGTTCCACTTCCTATTTTAAATAGTTTACTGTACTTTTCTAATGACCGTTGGAAGACAATAAAAGAATGTTATTAGGTTTTTAAGCCTGTTTTCTACATAAAAATTTCGTTTCAAAGGAAAAACGAAATTATTTCAAGTACAGTTATATGAACGAGTGAATGTATTTAAACTTAAGCATAAAAACTGCTTAAAATCCTGGGTTTCAGAATTTCTCAGTAACAGTCATTCTTTTTTTAAAATTCTATTTTAACTACAGAAACCTACAAACAGATTGTCAACCTCAATCCGTATTAATAATAAAAATCATGAAAATTCTGGTGCATTTAATAAAATTATTCTCAATTTACCAATCAATCGTATTAAAAAGGATCACTTATGCACAACACAATCTGCTCCATGTTCTCCAATATTTATGAAAAAAGAACATACTACACCGACACATTTGTTTCACACTATTTTCAATTCAGAAAGAATTACTTCACCATATTTAAAAAAGAAGCAAATATTTCAATTAAATCCAGTTAAAGAAACAACTATATCATCATCTAATTCATTGTTAATATCGAATGTAAAAAATCATTTAAATGGAAACCTACTGATTAAGCGAAATAAATCATATTGTCAAAAAACCTATAATAATAATAATAATAAAGACAGTAATAATCTAAATAATTTACCATTATCACAGTTAGAATTAAATATTCAGCAATTCAAATCGATTAATAAGAAACTAGATGTTGATAATTTAGATGACAAAAGCGCTGGTTATGTTAATAATAATAATAATAATAATATCAAAGGTAAAGCACTATTGGATAATGATCATTTTGTAAACAGGAAAAATGTAAGTTTTGTTTTTATGGTTTATCAGTTGTTGCTTCATTACTATAGTTCAATGATAAAAGTAAACAGGTCCCATAATATGTATGTCTGTATATGGGAAGTATTTAAAAAATGTATTTAATGTAAGTTTATGAAATG